CAATGAAGAACCAAGAAACATGCACCAACCGGTAACAGATCGACGAGTATCAGGACACCCTACCCAATCAGCATCACTATAAGCACTCAACTAAAGATAAATTCCAACGGAAAATAATAATCTGCGGTGGGAGGTTCCCTTTAAGTAGCGAATTATACGACGAACCGCAGCCAAGTGAAGATGGCGAGGAGAATGCATGAATTGACTTACTTGTTGAACAACAAAAGATATGTCAGGGCGAGTAATAGTCAAGTAGTTGAGGCTATCCACAAGTTGTCTATAAAATAAGGGATCAGGCAAAAGATCACCATGATCACGATGATATTTAACATTAACCTCAAGAGGAGTATCTACCGGATTAGCCAATTTGAGACCGGCCATAGAAATCAAATCTGTAGCATACTTGTGTTGATTGAGAAAGATGCCATTGGATGTAGAATGAACCTCAATACCAAGAAAATAATGTAGATTACCCATATCTTTCATGTGAAATGAGGCTTGTAATTGTTGCTTAAGTCGCTGAATAGAAGCAGGACCCGAACCAGTAATAACCATATCATCAACATACAAAAGAAGCTGAACAATACCCGCAGATGTGCCATGAATAAATAAAGATGAATCATATTGACTATGAGTAAAGGAGAATCCAAGTAGAGTGGAGCGAAATTTCTCGTACCATGCTCTAGGTGCCTGTTTCAAACCATATAAGGAGCGTTTGAGCTTACACACGCCTTTAGATGAAGAGAATAAGCCTTAAGGTAAAGTCATATAAATATCTTTTGTCAGGTCACCATGAAGAAAAGCATTCTTCACATCCATTTTATGTAGAGTCCACCCGTTAGAAGCGGCTATAGAGATGATCGTGCAGACAGTTGTCATTTTGGCAACTGGTGAAAATGTCTCATCATAATCAATTCCATATTCCTGCTTGTTTCCTAATGTAACCAAACAAGCCTTGTAACAATTGAGAGACCCATTAGAATTCAATTTCACAGAATACACCCATTTGCAACCTATAGGTTTTAAGTCAGGAGGGCAAGAGACAATATCCCACGTGAAATTCTCTTGAAGAGCTCAAAGCTCTTTATTAATTGCTTTTATCCATCGCACCTCCTTAACAGCCTGTGAGTAACAAGTAGGAATAGATATTCTATAGAGTGTGGCAGTCAGAGAAGTATGTGAGGAATCATACCTGTCTGGTGAATATCTATCTGGTGCGCGAGATATTCGACCAGAACTCCGTGGGTTAGCCGGTACAAGATCAGGTGACGGTTCAGTGTCGAGAAGGGGTGTAGGAACCAGCTTCCTGTGTTTTCTGACATATACATGACCTGGTTTATAACATTCTATAGATTGAGGCATAATAGAAAACTTAGGAAGAGTAACAATATCATTAATGGAAGAAGAAACACAGGGAAACATAAACTAATTATCAAAAAATGTCACATTTCTATAAATACGAAAACGATGTTTAGTGACATCATAACACACAAATGCCTTATGAGAGTGACTATATCCCATAAATGCACATTGAACGGATTGTGCTCCAAGCTTATGCCTTTCAAAAGGATGTAAAAGAACAAACACAGACACCCAAAAGTATGTAAAGCACGATAATCAGGATGAATTTTAAAAAGACGAAAGAAAGGAGAAACAAGTTTAATAACCGTAGAAGGAAGACGATTGATCAAGAAGACAACTGTGGAAAGAGCCTCTACCCAAAATCGGGATGGTACAGAAGCTTGGAGAAGCAATGTGCGTGTTACATCAAGCAAATGACGATTCTTACGTTCTGCCCTACCATTTTGTTGAGGGGTATTGGGACAAGATCGTTGCGATAAGATGCCTTTTTGTTGAAGGTATTCCTAAAACGTGTGAGACATGTACTCACCACCAGAGTTAGAGAGAAAATTTTTTACACTTGCTTGAAATTGAGTTTCAACATATGTCAAAAATTTCTTAAACATGAAAAACACTTCAGATTTAGATTGAAGGAAATATATCCAAACAAAGCGACTATAATCATCAATAAATGTGACAAAATATTTATAGTGAGAATGAGAAACTACAGGAGACATACGCCATACATCACTATGAATTATTTCAAAACAAGTGGAAGCACGATAAGCACCAGACGGAAAAGGAAGTGTTTTACTCTTAGCCAATTTGCAAATAGAACATGAAATAGAGGCATTAGAAATATTTTTATTTCCCAACAAACCATTTTTAAATAAATGGGACAAAACAACAGAGTTTGGATAACCTAATTTTCTATGACAATACTCATAAGAGTTTAAAACATTATTACAAGCAAGATATATATGATTAGAAATAAACTGGAGTGGAAACAGTCTTCCCACTTTAGGCCCCTTCGCGATCACCTTCCCCGATACCTGCTCCTGCACAAGACAACCATCACGAGAAAAGTTAACATCATAATTTTTATCTACCAATTTATCAACAAATAATAAATTAGACGTAAGTCCAGGCGATACAATCACGTCCTGAAAATCAAAATTTATGTCGCCAATATCAGTAATAGGTAAAGTATTACCATCAGCTATTTGAATTTTCTGATTACCATGATAAGAGTGTAAATTTTGCAAATACTCTAAAGAACCTGTCATGTGATTGGATGCACCCGAATCAAGAAATCATGGGCGAGAAACATTAGAAGACTTACCCTGAATTCCCAAGGTCGAAAGAGCGGAAAGTACCATTTGTTGAATCAATTCAGGTTGTATAGCACTATTGTTTGATGCGCCATTAGTGGAAGGACCGACCACATGATTTGTAGTTGCATGGAATGCCTGTGCTGAACGTTGTGTTGGTCGTGGAGGACGTGTGGGACACTCAGAGATAATATGACCCTGTTGCTTGCAGTAACTACAAAACTTCTTATTACAGCTACGAGCAATATGACCAAATTGTTTGCAAGAAAAGCACTGAACATGTCTCATATCACGACTTTTACCTTTACTTTGAGCAGCATATGCAACCGTCACGGGCTCGGAAATGGTAGCATCACGAGACATGGCTCCTTGAGTAATAAGACGTTGTTCCTCCCTTAGAAGTTCTCCAACACATGTATCTAAAGAAGGAACATGATTCCTATTCAGCAAGGCACCTCTGACAACTTCAAATTCTGGACGTAATTTCATGAGAAATTGATCTCGTCCATTTGTGTTGTAAACCTCTTGAATAAGCGTGAGAGAGGTCTTGGGAAGATTAGCATGTATAATAGCAGAATGTTTTTCCCAAAGATTTAAAAAATCAGAATAGTATTCTTGAATAGACAAATCATCTTGTTTGTAGTTGACTATTTCTAACTCCAACTGAAAACATTTTGCTGAATTGTCCTGGTTGTAAATGCGTTTCAAATATTTCCATATTTCTTGAACAGTTGAAAAAGAGCGTAAATTATTGATCATCTGAAGATCAATACTGTTGAGAATCCAAGTGATGATTTGAGCATCTTTAATTTCCCGCGCATCTAAAGCAGTTTTCTCCATTGGTGCCTGAGAAACATCATCTAGATGATTCCATAATCCCTTGCCTTTAACATACATCTTGAACTGAAATTTCCATGCGGAATAATTCTTGCCGGTAAAACAGACACAAAAATTATTTTTATTTTCCATAGCCATGATATTATTATCCCAGGAAACCCCACTTAGTAGCCAACGAACGGTGAAGAAACACGTACGATCGAGAAATATCAACAATGAAAAAATCACGAAACGGCAATTGAAAGATTTCAATTGAGAAACGCGATTTCGAGAAATACAAACAAGAAACACGATTTCAAAAGTGACCTAGTGGGGTGTCACTATTCAACCAAGAGAACAAGGATTCACAGGTTAGATCGAACCTTCTGATACCATGTCATAAATTCTGGTTTCATGCCTTTCTCATTGCATTTGATACTATATATAATAATGTCGGTAATTACAGGTAATTACAATTCATAATGACTAATTACAACTCATAATAACTAATTTTCCATTCTATGAATGTAAATTATTCACAATAAATGCGTTTGATTATTTCCTAATTAACAGTTATGTGTCACTTTGTGGAAATTATGGCACCATAGAAACTTGGTGGTGTTTAACAATGAAAGTTTCCATCCTCGTTTGATTTCTGAGCAGGCTAGAGATTGGGTTTTCGAGTTCAACAAGTCAAACCCGTCTCAGAAACCAGTTAGGAGGGCATCTACAAATGCGGATGTGAGCGACGAAGGTGCTGGTATGGTGAGAATATCAGTGGATGTAGGGGTTTTCAATGATGGCACCATAGCTACGGGATGTGTGATGAAGAGTCATGAGAATGAAACTTTCTTCTCTGCAATAAAAAGGGTCAGTATGGACATTGACCCCACTATGGCAGAAGCTTTTGCAGTTCGTTGGACATTTAAGATAGCGAAGGATCTTAACCTCCACAATGTGATAATCCTCTCTGATGTTCTTTCTATAGTTGATAATATAAATCAAATTTCTGTTATTGCTGTTTTAGAACCTTATGTGGTGGATTGTATGAACTTGATGAAACAATTTAGTCTAACCACTGTTATTTTTGTCAACTTAACTAGTAATCAGGATGTCCACCAACTTATTGGTTTAGGTCATAATATAGAATCTAGATCTTGGATTGGTTACCCTTCTCCTGGTTCTTTTCTTGTCCCTATAACTGACTTTTCTTCTATCTAGATTTACTCGACACTTTATTTTTGTTAATAAATATCACTTCTCTTATTCAGTACAACACATAAGTTTTGTTTTTCTGACTTCTATTTATATGCTTTCCTCAATTGCCATTGCCTCTATTTATAGGACAAAAAGCATGTGTGAATATATTTATAAAAAAATTCAAACATGACAGCAGCGTAAGCAATTAACATCATCCATTGAAAGATAATGATATTAATGGAGAAATATTGTTGGTTTCTCCTGTTTATTCCATTGGATTTATATATAATTAAGTTTAACAGCAATTACATCTCAATTCACTTGACCCTCTATACACACCCACTGGCCCACAAAGATACCAACACAGCTAATGTTAGGATTGATCTCAAGGAAGTGACTTTCAACTAGGTTGAACTTTTGAATGATGCTGGAGCAAGTTTCAGCTTTTCCCACTCCATGAATTGTGTCACATGTTGGGACTGCAACTGCAAAATGTATATGAATGTTAGATAGTATCATAGTAGTAGTTTGCTGTTACAAAAATTATTTATTTATAGTCATTTTGCAATTCAAAGCCTATACAGTATGCATTATCTCTAGCTATGTTTAGAAATTCAATTTCAGATTTACCTATTGGTGCTGCTCGAGTTTCAACAATAAACATCATAATGAGAATAAGTAAAAAAATTAGACCAAAGCTGATACTAGTAGACTTGGCCATTTTTCTTTTTTCAAACTCTTTTTGTAATTATGATTCTAATTTTTAATGTTTTGAGTTGTGTTTTTAAGACTTTCTGGGGTTCAGTTTATATAGGAGCTAGGAATCCAATATGGCAATAAACAATGGCGTTGGTTTTTAAGTATGCCGGCTCTGAGCAGCATATATTGGATATAGGATTCCACTCTTATGAGTAGGGGTGACAAAGTGCACGGTCATTTTTGTTTAGGTCTGTTCTGTGTAAGTCCATTTAAAAGTGGAATAAAATAATTTAAACGTTCGAGCTGAAAAGTCAAGTCTGTTTCATTTACTAACGATTAGCAAGTTGACGGACCGGTCCATCAAATTTTTTATTTTATTTTACAATTTTATTTATTACATAATTTATAAAAAAAATTTAATTAAAACCAAAGAATTCGATAAAAGATATTTTTTAACAACGCATAATAGAACTTCAAAATGTCTTAAGTCCAAACAGTTTAAACAAATAAAATAAATAAAGATTAATTACAAGAAAAACATAACGAAATGGACTCAAGCACAATAAAAAAATATATCAAAATAAATAAATAAATAAATAAACAACACATATCAACTTAATCATATTTAAAAACTAACTACTAAAAGAATCCAATTAATAATTTGCACAAGACAAACAATAATAATAATTACAGTGCATAAAATATCACAGTGCATAAATAGTATGACATGAACTATAAACACCTGAATTTCTTACTATTTACATCATATAGACTCTTATATTGACTGATTCCTTAATATGTATATCATAAATCAACATTTGTTTTTTAAAAAAAATGTGAGTTAATGTATTGGCGTCTTAATAATTCTTTATGCCATACAATTGTTCTTTTATTTCAAACTTTTTCAACAAACACACGCACTAGAAAGTTATAGAAAGAACTTTACTATTATAATTCAATTTGTATGTAAAATAATTTAAAATGCAATTCAATCAACATAATCCTAAGATAAGAGTGTTGTTTTTATAATTAAAGTTGTTTTAATTCTAAATAAAAAATAAAAAATAAAACAAAAAGTCTCCGGGCAAAATCTGCCCCGCCCCGTCTCGGTCCACTTTTTTAAGCGGGTTAGGCAGGGAGGGTCAACTTAAGGTACTGAGCTGAAAACCTCAGCCCAGCCCACCAAAAATGATGGTCAAATGGACCAGTCCGACGGGTCTGACCCGTTTTATCACCCCTACTTATGAGTTTTTCCACACCACCATAAAAAGTCTATTATGTCCTTAGCGTCCAAAAATACATCTCAGGACGTATATATATTTTTTCCATTTCTCAAATCATATTGAAGAGACACCCATTTTAAGTTAAAATTTAATCCAAAGATGTATTTCCATATGTGTATAAAGCACGTCTGAAGATGCATCTCTGTAAACATCATTTATTCAAACAATTGTGGGTGATATATATATATATATATATATATATATATATATATATATATATATATATATATATATATATATATATATATATATATATATATATATATATATATATATATATATATATATATATATATATATATATATATATATATATATATATATCTTTTGGTACATATCACACGTCAGACCCTTTCTTCTTCTTTTTAAAAAAAAAAAGATTCTCAAAAAAACTCATTTTAAACTCTGCAACGATTTTACTTATGCATCCATTCAATCAAGCTTATATCATTGGAGCTTTTTCCAACATCTCATTATATTTAAACTTCTCGTTCTCATCAATCAATATCACTTGGTAAGTTTTTCAAATTTTTGTTTCTTTTTTATGTTTTGGTTTGTAATTAGTTTTTTAAGTTGTATTAGTTGTTTTAGGTACATTAGGTAGTAGTGTAAACGAAATAGGTTGGCTAGAAGAACATGCATTACACTTTTTTGGAACTGGTAGGACAGAAAATGGGTTTCTGCCATAAGAGAAAAATTGCAGCTTTGTCTGGAGATGCATCTTCGGATTTGCTCTGCATTATTTTCGGAGATACATCTCCAGATTGAACTCAGGAAAAAAATGGGTGTTTTTGTAGAATTTATGATTTTCTCTAGACATGTTTATATTTGTCTCTATTTCTAACGCGAGTGCAATGGCTGATAACAACACTGTTCAGATTAGGCTAAGGTGTGTCTCCCAAACTATGTTAGTATGACGAGAGAGGGTCAAAATAGTGAGGACCACGAGGCTATAATTTATTGATAACTCATTTGATGGTGAATCTACTTCGCAGTTTCGACCGTCTAGTTCTCGAAGTTGTCTCTCTCAGGCATATGATACAGCAGAACCTGAGATTCTTGAAACCCCTGTTGACCCTGAAGCCCATGAAGCCCAGGAGGAAGTCACAGCCGTTCCGGATGCCTTATTAGAGAGTTATCCAGGAGGATCATTTGACACCTCCTTACTTCATTATTATGTAGAGCACGTTTCTAGGCATGTCTGATATGAAGAGGATTAATTTTTTTCTTTTGTAATACATATGTTGTCAACTAATTAAATTCATACTGATGGTTATATTTTCTTTTTACAGGAGCGTGACTGTTTGAAAATGATTAACTACATCATGAAGATTTTAGAGCTAGTATAACCCACTGCTACTTGGTTCGTTGGTGATATTTTCTATTTTGGTCTTTCCAGTTTATGTTGTGCTAAGTATATGACCATAAACAATAGAATGCATATGACTTTTGCAAAGAGGTGGCCCTCACAGACGTCATATTTCCGTCTGCCTATAGGTGAGATAAACATCACCTTGGATGACGTTTGTTGCCTCCTGCATCTTCTCATCAAGGAGAGATTATTAGACCATGGGATGATTGATCGAGATGAAGGAACCAACTTGATGGTCGCTCAATTGAGGGCTGGCCCAACTAAGGTCACACATGAGACAAATGCAGGTTTAGTTTTTTGGTAAAGATTTATAAAAATAATTTGAAACTGGCCTTTGATGTCGTAGGCAATGATGTGTAGGTTAAGTACCACTGATATTGCGCATTATAGTGTTACCTCTTTTTTCTGGTTGACAGATCCATGTTTGTGACAAAGTGCAACCTATGTTAACGTGGTCTACTAATGAGTGGTTTTTACATAGATATTTACCGTTGATTTTATCTATATTTTATATTGTCAAGCGTTTTATTTCGTTCTTCTACATTTTATGCGCTGGTTGTGAGTTTTACTATTTTTAAGCTCACAGGAATAAATCGGGACAAATCAGTGCAGGAAAGTGCAAACCTTAGAGTTTCAGAGAAAGTGCAAAATTGATGCTACAAGGGGCCTGACACGGGTGGTCGTGTCACCTGACATGGGCCGTATCAGGATATGAGTGTGTGTAAAGCTGGATGTCAGGGGGCTGACACGGGTGGTTGTTGTAGCGGTAGAAATGTTTAAGACTAAGCCATTGGATTAACTAGAATTGTACAGATCAAAATAAAAATCGCCACCGCGCTTTATTGTTTCTAAAGGAATGGGAAAGAGCGAATAAACCAAAAAGAGGGGGGGGGGGGGGAATTCAAGGTAAGGGGGGTTGGTTATGAAAAGGGAAGGTATTAGCACCCTAAACATCTACGGTACTCCGTAGGAACCTCTTTGTAAAATCTGTATATTTTGGCTATAAAATCTTATATGTAAAATAGATGGTGGAGGTGAGAAAATAAATACTTTTTAATATTTTTGCACCCGCCGCAGTTGCGAACCTTTAGTTCCTACGTACCACCTTTCGTGCATCAGGGGATCATGGTACACGTAGTTCCTCTTTAAAAAATTTAAAACACGAGTGTGTTGGTTAATTTTATGAGATAAGACATCATCATTATTGTCCGTGTGGAAAACATACTTACTACCCACAATCATGAGAAAGGAGAATTTGCATTATCTCAAAGTGGAGGGTATGGCTTGGATTTTAAAATCAACAATGCCTCATTCAACACTCAAGTGAAAAATATCTCACTTCACTACATATTATAGAAGTATAGTTGTTTGCATCACTACAAGGATTGACAAGAGTCTAATCTTTTGAGAAAGATTTTTAAAGATAAGAGCCAAAATGGAAAAATGGTTTGAATGAGATTGATTGACATTTAGTCTTCTCACAAAAATGTCAAGGTATTATTAAGTTGATTGAAGTTTATTTATGATTTTTTTTTGAAAATGCATGGACCTAAGTCAAAATTTATTATGAAAGTGATTCAAGTTTAGAAACAAGAAGAGTTTTCAAAAGTAGGGAGAAGATTTTTGAAATTAAAGAAGATGAGAGGAGATGAAGGGACTATCCTAAAGCATAAGGTAAAAGCTAGGGAGAAGAACCATCTAACCAACAAGAATCCAACACTTGACATCACGAGTCAAGATAGAATTCTCATTCTTTATATTGAAACCAATCAAGCACACTAAACCTCTTGAGAAAACCAAGCTTTAATTGTACTAAGTCTTCACAAAAATTGGGCAGAATAACGACTATATACAGATGAATTCCAGATTACAGACGAAGTATGTAATCATAATAACCTGCACACAAAACAAATAAACAACCCAATGTCTTGAGGTAAACCCCAAGAACTCTAGACAAAATATCAATTAAGGTCACAAGGTCTCCAACATAAGATCAAGGTTTCTATTCCTTAATCCAAGAAGTCCAATACTCCATAATGCCAAGGATAGTAACCAAATAGTCCAAGTAACATTAAAGTTTTTTATGGTTCATGTTGATTATTAAGTATCTTCAAAAAGAAAAGAAAAGCTCAAGTGAGCAAAATAAAAATGACATAAAAGTAAATGCTCAAGTGAGCAAAGATGAAAATAGCATGAAATGTAAATGCTAAAGTAAATGGTACATAAAGTAAAAACATAAAAATAAAATCATAAAATAAGTTCAATTGTTAGAAGTTAATGGTTAGTTGGATGACCATCTTGAAACTTGTATTTGGAACTCATTAGAGGATTGGTAGAACCAAAGCCTCTCAACAACAAGTTACATTT